ATTGGAAAATTTGGATGAAATGGACAATTTCCTAGACAAATACCAGTTGCCAATGTTAAATCAGGACCAGATAAACCATCTAAACAGTCCCATAACCCCAAAAGAAATAGAAGCAGTCATTAAAAGTCTCCCTACAAAGAAAAGCCCGGGACCAGACGGTTTTAGTGCAGAATTCTATCAGACCTTCAAGGAAGACCTAATCCCAATTCTTTTCAAACTATTCCACAAAATAGAAACAGAAGGTACACTACCCAACTCATTCTTTGAAGCCACAATTACACTCATACCTAAGCCACACAAAGACCCAACAAAGAAAGAGAACTTCAGGCCAATCTCCCTTATGAACACTGATGCAAAATTACTCAATAAAATTCTAGCGAACCGAATTCAAGAACACATCAAAACAATTATCCATCACGATCAAGTTGGCTTCATCCCAGGAATGCAGGGTTGGTTCAACATTCGGAAATCCATCAATGTAATCCATTATATAAACAAACTCAAAGAAAAAAAACACATGATCATCTCACTAGATGCTGAGAAAGCATTTGACAAGATTCAACACCCCTTCATGATAAAAGTCTTGGAAAGGTCAGGAATTCAAGGTCCATACCTAAACATAGTAAAAGCAATTTACAGCAAACCAGTAGCCAGCATTAAACTAAATGGAGAGAAACTTGAAGCAATCCCACTAAAATCAGGGACTAGGCAAGGCTGCCCACTCTCCCCCTACTTATTTAATATAGTATTGGAAGTCCTAGCCAGAGCAATTAGGCAACACAAGGAGGTCAAAGGGATACAAATTGGAAAGGAAGAAGTCAAAATCTCACTATTTGCAGATGATATGATAGTATACTTAAGTGACCCCAAAACTTCCACCAGAGAACTCCTAAACCTGATAAACAACTTTAGCAAAGTGGCTGGATATAAAATTAACTCAAGCAAATCAGTAGCCTTCCTCTACTCAAAAGATAAACTGGCTGAGAAAGAAATTATGGAAATGACACCCTTCAAAATAGTCACAGATAATATAAAATACCTTGGTGTGAACCTAACCAAGCAAGTAAAAGACCTGTATGACAAGAACTTCATTCCCCTGAAGAAAGAAATCGAAGCCGATCTCAGAAGATGGAAAGATCTCCCATGCTCATGGATTGGAAGGATTAATATAGTAAAAATGGCTATTTTGCCAAAAGCCATCTACAGATTTAATGCAATCCCCATCAAAATTCCCACTCAATTCTTCTCAGAGATAGAAAGAGCAATCTTAAAATTTATTTGGAATAACAAAAAACCCAGGATTGCGAAAACTACTCTCAGCAATAAAAGAACTTCTGGAGGAATCACCATCCCTGACTTCAAGCTGTACTACAAAGCAATAGTGATAAAAACTGCATGGTATTGGAACAGAGACAGGCAGGAGGATCAGTGGAATAGAATAGAAGACCCAGAAATGAACCCCCATACCTATGGTAACTTAATCTTTGACAAAGGGGCTAAAACCATCGAATGGAAAAAAGATAGCATTTTCAACAAATGGTGCTGGTCCAACTGGTGGTCAGCATGTAGAAAAATGAAAATTGATCCATACTTATCTCCTTGTACAAAGCTCAATTCCAAGTGGATTAAGGACCTCCACCTAAAACCAGCCACACTGAAACTAATAGAAGAGAAACTGGGAAAAAGCCTGGAATACATAGGCACAGGGAAAAAGTTCCTGAACAGAACGCCAATGGCCTGTGCTCTAAGACCAAAAATTGACAAATGGGACCTCATAAAGCTGCAAAGCTTCTGTAAAGCAAAGGACACAGTCAATAGGACAGAGCGGCAACCAACAGATTGGGAAAAGATATTCACCAACCCTACATCTGATAAAGGGCTAATATCCAAGGTATACAAAGAACTGAAGAAATTAGACTCTAGACAATCAAAGAACCCTATTAAAAAATGGAGCACAGACCTGAACAAAGAATTCTCAACTGAGGAAGCTCGAATAAAAAAAAAAAATAAAAAATAAAATGTACAGGGATTACTAAGCGGTGGAGTCAGCCTGTAGGCCTCGGTGCTGGTTTGTAGCGCTGCGAGTCCAACTAAAGGTCTCGTGTAAGCTCTACTACTTAGGTACACTCCTAGCCCTAGGTCTAACTCTGAGTCATTGTGTTATGTAGAGGGCCTGCCATACATCAAAAGGGGGCTTGACATATTATTGCTTACAATAATATTATCCACTGTGACCCAAGGAAACATGTTCTCTGTCTCTGGAGAGACAACTAAGTGTGTGTGTTTTTGTTGTGGTTGTTCAAAAAAGACTATCTTTGTACGTGAGAAATAGGATTACCTCAAAATTTTCTTCATGTGAAAATTTTTTTCTGCACATCATAAGGAAAAAAAAAACAAATTCATAAATGAGTTTTTAAAATAGAAAGGTAGAGATAGCAGGGCAATTTCATGTAGTACTGTGTGCTGAGGAAAAGATCTTTACGCTATTTTCCAAAGTGAAGGAACACATCGATCAAATGCTCTCACCCTTAGCTAACATAGCTAACATAGCAATAGACTTCCTATCTGCTGTGATTCGTCAGGATGTATATCATTAGCCTGTATGGTTGTGAGATGTACCTTTGCAATGTGTCTGGGATGCTTCCCGGAAGCTTCACTCCGTCCTTTACTCCATCTTTCTCAGCTTTCTTGCATCAAATTCTAAACTGTCCTGTATCTTCCTAGCTCTTGTATTTTCCCTGTAGTCTCTCCCATTTCCCAAGAGGCTTTCTGACTTCTTTATCCAATCATTTCAACTCTATGAAGCTACCTCCTCTTAGTTTCCATCAGTGACCACAGCCTGGAGGGCTGAAGGGTTTCTTGGGGAAGATCCTTAACACCTAATATAATGCCTGTTAACTTTGTCAGCACCTCACCCCACTCCTTCTCTTGTGATATAGGTCTACTGCACTGTTCTCACAAACTGTGATTGCTAGATCCCTGAGAATCCGCAAATGCAATCTCAGAAGATCCACGAGTACCTACGATCATTTCACCTTTCTGATGCTTATCATAAGATACTCTAGGCTATTATCATTCAATGCTTCCACTTGCATTTGTGCCTCAGTTTTACAGTGGAGCAATGGAGCAGCAAAGCTTGACTTTCTAAAAGTGGTTTCTTGTACTGAGGGTCCACAACCTCTGTCTGAGTTTCCAGAGTTCTCCAGATTGAAAACTGGGTTGCTCTAGAGTATGGAGATAGGCTGCATGGATAGTCCCACAGCTCAGCCTGACCTTCACATGTGTTCTGTGACTCTCATACTGTGGCACGTACTAGGAATTGCGTAAAACAAAAAGTCCCCGTTCTGTTAGCTGGTAGACACTGCAGGCGAGTAAAGAGTAAATTGAAATATATTGTCATTGGTTGGTGTGAATCTTATGGAGAACCGTTTGGCGCCTGTATCAGGAGCCTTGAAATGTTGATGGGCCACCAAATCTACCCACTATTAAGAATTTAGTTTGTGAAAATAAGAGCAGTCCACAGATTTATAGATGAGGGGCAAGGAGTTAGACGGAGAGAAGATTATTGGGATTAACTCAACCCAATACTTTACAGTAAAGATGGAAACCATATTTGGAGTTTAACACTATGAGAACAGTAATAAACAATAGCATTGCACGTGATGTTGTATTTGGCACTACAAGAATATTTTCCTACTATTTCTTTTCAGTTAAAGGTTATAGAGTAATATTTTATGTTTTGTTCTGTTTAAGAGTTAAACAGTCACTATTTTAGGCTTTGTTTTTAATTGTAATTTAGGCTTATCCCTTGAATCATAATTCTCTAAACTTTACTTTTGTGACATGAAAACAGCCATAAATTCAGAATTGATCATGGCTGCATTCCCAATAGAACTTTATTTGTTGACTCTGATTTTCAATTTTGCAATTTTTAAAAACATAGAAATAAATCTTAAAAATTTTTCCTTTAACATTATTCTTGGTAATGTCATATACAATTTCAATGTATTTTGGTCATATCTCCTCCCACTCCTCCATCTCCCACCTTTATGTCTTCATGTTTTATTATAACACACTGTCTACTTAGTACTGATGATATGTAGTAGTATTCTCTCAGATTCTGGGCACTAGCATAACACTGTTGTAAGATGAAGAATATCTGTATGTTACTTTTATAATCAGAAGAAACAGTTATAATTGGTGTATACCTGAAAGTAGTTTTAAAAGTTAAGGCCTTAAATTCATTCAGGAGAGACATTGAGAATCTGGGAAGATTTACAACTCCAGTGTCTTGACCAATGGGGGAGAACTGTTTGAACAAAGGAGCCATGTGTGGAATAAGGAGAGATGTGTGATTACAGGGGAGAGAAGTCTGGGCTGAGTTATGGATGGTTATCTGTAGGGAAGAGAATGCCAGAGTAGAAGTAAAATCATGTCCCAAGGTGTGATTTGCTGTGCTACAACTGAATTTTACCTGCAGCAGGAGCATGAGGGCAAACAAGGGGGAAACTGAGGCATGAGGTGGAAGCAGGGAAGGACAGGTTTTGAAGGAACCTGTCAGGCTATGTGACTGACAAGGGCTTGGAATGGAAGGGAGTTGGGGAAGAGGAGGAGGGAAATGAAGGTTGTCTCTTATGAGTGGCTGTTCTCGGTAGGCCAGTTAGTGGTAGACTTGGTAAGGATGGTATGTGGAGATTCAGATATTTTGAGTTTGAGGAAGTTGTTTAATCAAGTTTTGGTGGAGATTTGCAGAAGAATTTAAAGATCAGAAAAAAATTAAATTTATAGAGTTTGTAGGTATAAAGAACAGAAACCTTCATTTGGAAACAGGAGGAAATAATGAAACTTCTCATCAAATATGCTTTATATTTATAAATTATTAATTATCTACTAGATCTTCCTAGATCACACACGGTTTCAGGTATCTGTGCTTAAAATGTGGTCCTTTATTTTCACATTGGATGACAACTGACTTACATATTTTGTTTTCATGGACTTAGGCCTTGGAAGATCGTGTGTGGGAACTCTTACAGGAAGCAGACAGGACGGCTGAAGCAAACAAGGCTCAAAGTCAGGTGTATGATGCCATGGCCCAGACTCTGGGTGAGGCATGGGCAACCCTGGTCTCCATGCTTGAAAGAAGAAGGGAGCTCCTTGGGCTGACGTCTGAGTTTTTTCAAAGTGCTTTGGAGGTGTGTGCTTCAGAAAGCATTTACTTCTTCATAACATTGCAGATAACTTGAATGCTCAAAAATGTTTAATATCCTAAGACAAATGTTACACACATGTTCAAAATGGCAGGATAAAGGAGATATATACAATACATTTCATATTATATATATTGCATAATATATACACATATATGTATTATATATATTGTATAATATATAATATATTGTGTAAATAAAATTAATACTTTAAATATAGATCATCAGTCATACAGATTGTCAAGTAAATGCAAAACTTTTACACATGTCACTTTGATCTAGAAGATAGTAATATAGTCTAGACTCTAATTGCTCTTACTATACAATTATTGAGGAATGCTGATATGGAGAATTTTATTGGCTAAAAGTCAGAGGATAAAAAAATACACAATATTCCATAGAATATTTGACTTGTACATATAGCATCTTATTTTCTTGAGGAATATAGGTGTTGTTCTATAGTTTAAGCCCATTAAAATACAAGGAAAGGAAGAAAAAGTCCTGGAACAAGGCCTAAAAATGAGGCAGACTAAATCTCACATAATAGCCAACTTCACCCAGAGCATCTGACAAGTTGTACACAGAAAGTTAAGAAGCATCACTTGAGCAAATTTTCCAATCACAAGAACAATCTACATGTAGTGGGAGATATTTAAATTGTCAGCATTCAATCTGGCTTTTCTTAATCAGCTACCATGTTCCCGACTAGCCTGGCCCTGTGGCCACGAGCAGAGGTGGCTTACCGCTGCTGCTCAGTTCAGGTTGTCCACTCAGGTGACCAGAGACACCAGCCCTACCACCCATGAGATGCCAGAATGGGAGATGGCTCTGCCAATCTTCCACACTGTCTCCACAAGGCTAGGCTTTGCCCAGACCATCCTGCCATCCATGCAGGCCCGGTAGGAAAATGAGATTCTAATGCTTAAATATTAATCAAAGGCTTTATATATTTAGAAATGCTCAATTAACAATTGGCCCACATAATTAGAGTTGTTTCCCAATATCTAACTTTAAGATATAAATTGTTACGTAGGACTGTTCTGGACCCATGTGATTCTCCATCCTCCTACATCTCTGTTCTCTCTCCTCGTCTTCCTCCTTTTTCTTCCTCCCCTTACTCCTCCTCTTCCTCTCCTTATTCCTCCCACCTTAGCCCCTCCCAACTTGTGGGGAAAATTCCAACATCAGCTGCAAATTGCAAAGACATGGTTTTTAGGGGCACACAAATAACAACAGCTAAAGTAAATTCACTACTGTCTGCTACACCTGGTAGGAGGAGGAAAATACATTCCAAGAACAGTTCTGTGTTTTGAAGAAACCAAGGTCCCAAGACTCTTCTCTTGTTTTCTTAGGATTTTCTTACAAGCACTCAGAATTCTCAACACACAACTTTATTCCAGGACTGTGTTCCAACATAGATGAATGGCCATTGAACCCTTCTGTAATTTTTCCTGTGTGTGTATGTATGTGTGTGATTTACATTTTTTTCTTTGTGGAGGTTATCAATTTAAAATGTGAGACTCCCATTTTTTTCGAGTAGGTATATATTTTGTGCAAGACAATTATTGGAAATTTCACATTTTTAACTCCTCTGTCAGTGACAGAAAGCTCTTGCTGCTGTCTGGCTGCTACCTCGTTACGATAAAACACTAACTTTGAAAATCAAGATGTTCTTAGAAAGGAAATTTAGGAGTTAAATCCGGAATTACAAAGGTAAGGAGATTAGTCACAGAACATCAAACTTGAGGTGGACAATCTCATGCTCCATGAACTGATTGAGAAGAAGAACAAAACCTTACTGTAGCTTTTAGGATTCACACACCACAGCTCCATGCCGAAGCTCTGCTTGTTTTATAGACCATCTTCAGGGAAAATTTAATATATGATCTCCTTTCTTGAAAGAAGAAATAAGCCAGCTGAAATATTCTCACAGAAGCCAAATTACAGCTCTAGCCGATCCATTCCATCTTAGTGGGAGGGGAATAAATGTCACCGTCTTTGAAACTCAGCACTCTTGAGAACAGCAAATTATCTTTTCCTAACATCAGGTTCAGTATTTGTTTCTCGGTGTGGTTTAGCGTTAATGATAGCTAATTTTCTCTGTGATGTGGAAATAACTTCCAGATATTGTAAAGAAACACTAAATCAAACCAGATCAGCTGGGCACTGTTATCTGACCACTCAAGTGAGCTTTTATTGGGTCTAGGGAAATAACTAAATATGTCTGTATTATCCAGCTTCCCATTCCGTGAACCACTCATACTAAGTGGAGGACAGAGTCCTACATAATCTGTGGGCAGCTTCTCTATAGCAAAGCAGTTTTCACTAATGATCAAAAAAAGATGATGAAATTAATTTTAACTCTTGTTTAAGTTCCCATTGCCATTCCTATTCTGGACAAACTTCAGAGAGAGAGAGGGCGGTGGAGATGGGGGCGGAGAGGGGGAGAGGA